GTATCAGGAGAACAAAGACAAGTTTCATCCACCACTGCCAATTGGACAACCCCTCGAACAGAGGGATCAAACTAAACATTGTGCTTTTCATTCTGATTTCGGACATCAAACTAACGAATGCAGGAACTTGAGGAGGCAAGTGGAGATGTTGATAGCTAGAGGGGAGTTTGCGAGTTATGTTCAAGGCTCGGCGATGGAGCAGAATCGACCAGTGGAACAAATAAAAAGGAGTCATAAACAAAGCTCCCACAATTCGCAGCCAGTTCGTATAATCAATGCTATCCATGGTCGACCCGAGCCTAGTGAAGAGTCAGATGAGCTGCTACGGGTGCGCCTGCGGCAGGCGCAGATGAAGAAAAGGGTCGGCAATGTGACCACTCTCCACCAGCAGAGCCCATCAATGCAGATAAAGTTCGACTGGACAGACCTGCAGCGTGTTCAACTGCCTCATGACGACCCGTTGGTAGTCAGTTTGACAGTGGCAGATTGCTTGGTGCGCAGAGTTCTGATCGATCCTGGGAGCAGTGCGAATGTTATGCCGAGGGACACATTTGACAGGCTCGACATTAAACCAGAGAGGCTCAAGCCCACCGGAAATCCCTTATTAGGGTTCGATGGGAAGAGGGTGGAACCCGTCGGGATGGTGGAAGTAGAGGTTCAAGCTGCAGAACGAGCTCTTATGGAAACTTTTGTGGTTGTGGAAATTCACCCCTCGTATAATCTCCTGATGGGAAGAGGGTGGATTCACAGAGTCCGAGGTGTACCCTCAACTCTGCATCAGGTCATGAGGTGCCTCGGGCCCGATGGAGATAAAGTAATAGACATTCGGGGGGATCAGGTCGCAGCCAAAGAGTGTTATTCCGTCACACTAAAGCATGCTGGGAAAGGAAAGGCGCCCGTCCGGTCGACAAGCCCCAGATAGCAATTACAGGAACCTCCACTCGAGCAGAATAGGGTGGAGGAGTCAGCCGACTTGACCGAGGAGCCCCTTCTGGATGTGCAGATCGATCAGTCCAGGCCAGAACGAACTACCAGAGTGGGTATAAGACTGACCAGAGAAGAGCAGCAAGAGCTAGTGGATTTCTTGTCCCACAATGTCGACGTATTTGCATGGAGTCACCTCGACATGCCTGGAATTAGTCCTTCCGTATCCTGTCATTCCCTGAATGTCAATCCTAATTTCAAACCAGTGAAACAGAAGCAGCGAAGATTTGCTCCAGAACGTAATCAGATCATAGCGGAAGAAGTCGATAGGCTGCTTGATGCGGGATTTATCAGAGAGGTGCACTACCCTGAGTGGTTGTCCAACGTCGTTATGGTGCAGAAGAAAAATGGGAAATGGCGAGTATGCATTGATTTCACCAATTTGAACAAAGCCTGTCCGAAGGACAGCTTCCCGTTGCCTAAGATTGATCAAATGGTGGATGCCACCACTGGGTATGAGCGTTTAACCTTTCTGGACGCATATTCAGGTTATAATCAGATTCCTATGGACCCCGCAGATGAAGAAAAAACTTCTTTTGTCACCGAGCGAGGAACATACTGCTACAAAGTTATGCCTTTTGGATTAAAGAATGCGGGAGCAACTTATCAACGACTTGTTAGCAAAGTTTTTAAGAATCAAATGGGTAAGACTGTCGAAGCCTATATTGATGATATGGTGGCTGAAGAAGAAGCCGACGCTGGAGAGGAGGTCGCCCCAGCAGCAGGAGTGGCTGGGGGAGTATTTTTCCTCCTGCCAAAAGAGGGAATCTGCAGTCTGCTCATGTTGTAGCCGAGTGATGAGAGCGCAAAGAGGTTGTCTGAAGTGAGGAGATCTGAGCAGGAAGGAATATCGTTCAGAACGTATCTCTTCAAGTAGTTACTCCTATCCCTGCAAACACTATAGCTCAAGTCATCACAAGGTATTCCCAAGGAGCGGCATAAGTAAGTGCAAAAACGAGGAACGCATGTTTCACAGGGGCAGTCATGTTTATGGGATTTGAATTTTTTATAGGAGGAGACAGAGCAGACACCAAAGGCGCTCGGGATTGGGTAATCCTCTGCAGCCAGCGAAGACCAAGCCCCACTAATGCCCACTATGCTATCCCTCCAACCCTTTTCAGATTTTATTGTGTCAGTGCATATGGACATCTTCTCGAACGGGTAGAGGTGGTAGAAGGGCTCGTTAGTACGGATCTTACTGACCTTGTAGCACAGAAGGAGGTCTATGAGGTCGAGATCCAGATTTCTGTCACGCATCAATAAGAGCATAACAGATATGATCCTAAAGAAGTTGGGGTTGACCTGCAGAGGGGATATCCCCAATCTATTGAAGACATAACTAAAGAAAGGGTGCAGAGGGAACCTAACAACATTCAATTGAAGGTTCGTGAATAAGACTTCGCCGGGCAGGAGGCCGGCGCCGGTCGTAATATTAACGTCTTGGGGGCAAACCCTAACTTCGATGTTGTCAGGAAGTCTAAGTCTTATACGAAGAACATCTAGATCTACAACCATGGTGGAAATGCTAGAAGAATCTAAAAGAGGGAAAATGGAAGCCTGCCGAAAGTAAAAAGAACGAAACTAACCTCGGAGGACTGCAAGATCGCTGGAAGAATGACTCTCGAAGGATTTCACCGGAAAAGGCTTAGCACTGTTCTAGAAAGAGAGAGACTTGGCTGATGATGGAGACGGTAAAGGGAAGTGAAGTGGAATTCTAGAGCATTATAAAGGCGAGGGGGCCCGAGGGCCGAAGCGTCGGGAAGGCAAGAAATCCCTCGAGCCCCGGAACATTGATTCTGGATCTGACCGTCCGCTCCCCCACGTGGTTATCTCGAGCCGTCAGCGTCATGATGAGACGCCATCAATAATTACCCCTTATTAAATAAGGGGCAATTATGGGGGCAGTTGAGGAGGCCCCGGATGACATGGGCCAGGTCCGACTCGCAAAACACAACCTTCAGTCCGAACAGCTGGGTCAGCCCATAGAAAGACACTGCCATATGGGCCGAGCGGGAGTAAGCCCATCAAGGGTGACTAGGGCTTACAGAGGAATAGGCCCAGGTCCAGCAATCAGAAAATATCTTGCAAATATCTTGTAAATATCTTGTAAGTATCTATAAATAGGAGTTGGAATGAAGAGGAGAGGGATCTTTTTCGGGTTGAGGTGTAAGAATTCTAGAGAGAGAAAGAATAGTAGGAATTTCTTGCATCTTCAGTTATATGGTCATAAAGTAAAACCCTTAAATTTGCCGATGGATATATATATATATATAACAACACGTAATACATTTCTTTTAAAAACTGAAGCCGATGGATAGATATTAACAAACAATAGAATTTCTTTCAATTGTTCCTTTACTCATTTTTTAGAAGATGATAATGGTTGAATCGCTGATTATTGGAGGAAAAAAAAATAAAAATAAAAATAAAAAACTTAAACAATTTTAGTCTACATGTAAAGAAATATGCTCGTCTCTGCCGTTGGATTCCTCCTTGTCGGCCGCTCCTCTCTACCGCCGCATTTCTTCCTCACAGCCGAGCCCTCGTCGGTCCGTCACCACCGCTACACCACCCGCTGTCCATCACAGCTAACATCATCCAAAGCCAAAATCGCTGAGGCCGTCTTCTTCTTCTCCACCGTCCGAAGCGTCCTTGCTCGCCGTGAGTTCGGCCGCCGTTAAATCCCGCCAAGCTCGTCGCCGCGAGTCATTCACGGCCGAGTCTGCCGAGCCCTCCACCGGCTGAGCCGCCACCGTATCTGCTGTTCAGTCCACCTACCTCGCTGTCACAACTAGCCCGTCTCCACCTCGTCGTCACAGCCAGCCCGTCTTCATCAAGCCGCCACAGCCAAGTTCGTCACCGTCTTACCCGCCGTTCTGTCAATCGCCGGCTTCGCCGTCGCCTTTTCAATTTGGGGGTTCATCGAGTTAGAGAGAAAGAGGGGAGTGAGAAGAGACCCAGTTGAAGATAAAGAAAAGAAAAGAAAAGGAAAAAATAATAACAAAGTCAGCAGCTAATAGGCTGCTGACACGTGTCCTATAGGCATTTTATTTTCTGCTGTGTCATGCGGCACCCTTTTAGGAAGGGGTAAATTTGACTTTTCTAAATTCCGGTAGCTAGAAATGCCCTGAAAAATATTCTCTGTCCTAAGACTACACCAAGACCATAGTTAAGGGGGGTTATTTGTAGTTGAGGGGGGTTAGTTGCACTTGGGGTATAGTTGAAGGGGGTTTATTACACTTTACCCTAAATTTATTCCTAAATAACACAAGGATACAAAAGTTCATGTAAATAACACAACCTTTCACAAAAGACACACATGCCGGATAAAATAATAAAATATAAGTTGTCCAACATTTTCGAATGGAGGTAAGACGTTGATGCCTCAGTAGGGACACACGTGTGAGTACAATTAAGAAAAATATTTTCAACACAATAACTAAGACTAAATGATAACTAAGTAAATAACAACATTAACATAAATTTCAACAAAGGAGTGTTGTATCACCATTTGGTATAATGCAACAGAAAATATTAAATACCAATTAAAAATGATTTTTTTTTTTTTGGATAAAATGAGTCATTGTGATTAAATAGAATTTTAAGTTATTTTTATTAGTTAATCAATGTTTCCGTGATAAAAAATATTTTCTTCTTCATTTTTTGTTTTGGAAGATTCAAAATTAAAGTTAATTTTATTTATTTTGAGATATAATAATATATAAAACACTAATTATTTATTAAATTATTTATAAAAGTTTAAAATATATATATAATTGAGGCGGACAAGTTTATCAATAAATCCACTCCCGTCCTAAATTCACATCGAATTTTTAATTATTTTTACTATATTCGTTCCAAACCGATTTAAATAACCAAATCCACCTATTAAAAGCGGGGCGGGACAAAAACGGGGTCGACACAATAATAAAGTGGAATTATTTTTCCTTTCCCCTTTTCTACTCTCTTTGTATAAGTATGTAATACGTAGTATATAATTTATTTTATTTATTTTTTCCTTATAAATTTGATTTTCGTACCGGTCATCTTCTCCTAATATTTTGCGGTCGCTTTCTTCATCTCTCTCCGAATCACTTTCTCTCTCTACAACAGTAGAGCTTTCTCCCCTCTAGGGTTTTGAAGTTGAACTTTTACTCACGTTTTCGACGTGTCCGCACCGTGAATATTTTCTTTCCGGTTCTCAGACGGCACTCTTAACTTCAATCTGCTACTTCGCTTGCATACTGGGGAGGAAAACTTGTGGTCGACTTCGTTTGCGTCTGCGTCTCGAGGTTCGACTGTTCTTGATTGTGTAGCACTTTATTATCAAAATTATAAGAAGTATAAATATAATATAATATGTTTTTTTAATAATATAAATCAATATATATTAACAGAAGCATGTCTATCATGAAGAAGAGAGGTTGATTTTACAGCTTTGTAGTTCAATGGTTAAATAGCACAAGCTCAGTAAAGGTCCAGGAACGCACAACCTAAAAAAAATTAGGAAAAAAATTAAGTAAATAAGACGAACAAAATAATACAAAAATATAGAGAGAGAGGGGAACATGTTGCAAGCTGATAAATGAGACTGTCGAGTGCAGAACATCTAGTGTGTGTGTGTGTGTGTGAAAGTAGCAGTGATATGTTGTATCAAGGACTACTATTGTGATAGAATTACATATTCTTTCACTGATTTTTTAAAGTAAGAATAAAAAGACGTCAATGAACTTTGGAGGGACAATGAGGGGGCAATGTAAGTAATTTTTTAAACACAACCCTAATTATTATTATTATTTGCCTATAAAAAAAAATTTTCAAAAAAATTTGGGGGTGGGGGCAATACCCTTAAGTTTTTTCTGTCTTTAGATATTCTACTTCGTGGATTCCTGGGATATGGTTTCATTGTAGTAGCAGCTGTCACATGTTCAGCATTTGACATTATTCATTCTATCGTATTTTCAGTTACTCAGATTGCGTGTAAAGATGCTTGTTTTATTGTGTTTAATGTAGCAAATGTTGTTTTGGTGATAGTTGAATGATTGCCAGCATGGATTTAAATGCCTCGCCACAAACAGAAAAAGAAAAAGATGACGAGACCTTTGAACCACATTTAGAAGAAGGCACTGCCCCAGAACATATAGGAAATGTAGAACATACAGAATCTGCAGTTGAAATTTACCATCGGGTAATTCACTTTCTTTAGTTTTTACTTCATGCTTTGTGAATTTTGTTTCAAATAATGCACTTATCCTATTGGCACTATTCATTAATTTTACATGGATATTTCTTTTCTTACTTGTATCAGTATTGATCTGTGTTTGGCAATTTATAGAAGGATTGTGGATACCTCTCGAGAATAAGCACATTCATGAGAGTCCACATAGCATTTGACAAGCATTTTTTTCCCCTTCTCACTCTCCCTCTCTCTCTCTATATATCATTTTTTGTTTTTTTTCTTTCTTTCTTTCTTTCTTTCTTGTATGGCACCTGGAACACATTTATGTTATTCCTTGTAGAGTTGTTTCTAGAATTTTGTAGAAGTTATGATACTGATATATTTTTTTCTTTTTTTAATGAAAGCATGCATAAGCTTCAAACTCCAATTTTGTTTCTTGATGTCTTTGAAAGTGACCATGGATTAGTCATAATAAAAAGAAGTTCATGATGGTTAATGCTTTCATTATATATTCTTACATGGCTGAAGCTTATGCATGAATTTTATAATTTTTGTTTCTAAACTACTTGACAGGCCTGCTATACTGTAACAGTGAAATAGTAATTCTTCACTCCCATCATCGCTTACTTGATCCAGTTCTTACTTTTTAGTTTTTATGGCATTCGGAAATATTTTGTAACTGCTAATGGTCCAAGTTGACACCATGAATGCCGTTTGCTGGAGTTTATTGGGATTGAGCCATTATTAGCTGCATGCCACACCATCAAATTCTTGGACTCATCAAATTGGAAGGTCGTAATATTAGGGACCATCTTAAATCTGCTTTCCATGAGGTCTAATCATTGAATTAAGGATGAATTTATTATCAATTCAACAATTCCTGGTTTGGTAGTTGGGTATGTCACTCTAAAGAGATGAACTAGGCTACCTAGTTTTTGCCTTAATTCTGATTTCTAATACATTCTTTTAGTTGTCTAAACATGCAGCATATGGATTGATCACCTCTCATTTACAGAAGTCAATACTTGAAAATATTTTGACGTCAGCATTTTTCGTGTGTGGTGTTAGCTTTTTATTCTTGTTCACTTGTTACAAATGAAGAGTAAAAACATTTCTGTTCTAATTCTGCCATTCTGGACAAGCACAAACATTCTTAACATTTTTTGACATGATTTTTTTCACAAATATGAAAATAGCTGATTATTTTTTTGAAACTAAAAATATTTGTGTTACTCATCAAAAAAAAAAAAGAAACTAAAAATATTTGTGTTTGTGCGCTATATATTTTTTAATTTATGTGCTTTTGCATTAGGAGCGTGAAGAAAGACGTCAACGACTAAAAAGAGAGTGCTCGGATGACAGACCAATGCATGCATCTCAGCCACCTATGCATGACCAAATGTTTCAAGCAAAACGCCAGAGATTTTATGATAAAAATAAGCTTCCTCCTGGTAAGTTTGTGACTAATTTATATGGATCGATCTTTTTATTAGTATTAGAGACTAATTTATTTTTCTAGGCATATTCTTTGACATTGTTTTGACAGAAAAGGTAATTAAATAATGGTAGCTTTATGTCAGAATTGTTTTTTAGATAATAAAAATAATTATCAAATATATTAAGGTTTATTTTCTGAACGGATCAACAGTTTCTGAAAAACAACTCCTTATATATATAGAGAGATATTAGAAAGATGAAAAAATTACTTTAAGATATTACTAAATGGTGAATATACTCGAGAAGAACTTATAATTAATGAACCTATGTAAGGAATGATAAACTAAATTAGTATTAAGGAAGTAGAGGAAATACTTAAGAAATAATACCGGATGAGTGGAGGAGGAATACGGGTACTACAATTCCAGTTTATAAAAATAAAGAAAATATACAAAATTGTGGAAATTACAGAGGAATTAATTTAATGAGACATACGATGAAATTAGGGAAAGGATAATTGAACAAAGATTAAGAAAAGGATCTTCAATATCAGTTAGTTTGGATTTATGCCAGGTAGATCCATTATGGAGGCTATCAATTTAGTAAGTCATTTAATAGATGGGTGTAGAAGTAAGCAAAAGAATTTACACATGGTTTTCATAAACCTAGAGACGACATATGATAAAATGCCAAGGGATGTAATTTGGTGAGCTCCACAAAGAAAACAAGTTCCTGGAAACTTATAAATCTCATTCAGGATATGTATAGTTAAACAATGACTAGATTTCGCACTATATGTGTAGAGACTAATGATTTTATTTATAATTTTTGGATTGCACCAAGGCTTAGTATTAGGTTCATATTTGTTTATTGTAGTTTTAGATGAAATAATGAAGGGTATCAAAGAAGACTTCGATGGTGTATGTTATTTGCAAATGACATAGTTCTATTGGTTACTTCTAAGGAAGCCTTAGCAATAAAATTAGAAACATGAAGGATACCTTACAATCCAAATGCCTAAAGGACAATATAACTATCACAATTAAAGACCAAAGGATCTTTTAGAATAGCCATTTTCAAAATTTAGGGTTCATAATACGACAAGATAGAGAGATATACAACAATGTAATAAGTTGGATTGGAGCATGGTGGACAAAATGGAGACAAACTAGTGACGTTTTATGTGACAAATGAGTACCAAATAAGTCAAAAGAAAAGTTTTATAGGACTGTTGTTAGGTTAACGATACTGTATGGAGCGGAAATATTGCAAAATAAGAATAACACATCATGTATCTGAATTGAGATTGTTAAGATGGATGATAGGAGTGACTATGAAAGGTAGGATTAATAATTAATGTGCGAGGGAAAAGTTAGGAATGACGTCTGTTAGTGATATAAGAGAAAGTAGACGTAGGTGGTATCTTCATATTCAATGGAGATCGATGGATGCACCGGTAAGAAAATTGTAGATTTATTTGCATAGAGGGTAAGAGACAAATAGGCCGACCAAAACTCATGTGGGATGTAGTAATTAGAGCTGGTTTTAAAGATGAAATGTAATAGTAGAAGACATGGCTTATGATAGAAAAGAACCAAAAAAGAGAACTCTTGTGGCTGTTCCCGTTCATATGGGATAAGGCAAAGAAGAAGAAGATGATGGTGATGAGAGAAATTATTTCCAGTTTTAGTAGTAGCAGAATTGCTAAAAGACTGGATCACTATGGGTTTGTGAGAGCTAAATTTGTGGTGCATAGCTTATTTTCTATGATTTATTTGTGTGAAATTATTTATGAAGTTAAGATGACAGAGATTTCTAAACCAGCTACTTTTGTGTACCCCTCACAGTTTTTAGTTTAGAGTTCCCTGTTCCCATTCACGTAAATATCATGAATATTCTATTTATAGAAGTGCAGATTCACATTGTTTTGATTTTTTGATTTTATTGCATATTTTTGAATTTATTTACATTCTCACTTATTCACTCACACTCACCATCCACCACTCCAACAGCGCATGCACCCTATTCTTTATGATATAAGGTTAGGTGGGCTTCATCAAGGAAATTGGAAATTTTGATCTATCTAGAGTTATGATGAATTGATTTTAGCACCAGTTGATTTGAATACCTTTTTGCACCACGAGTCTTTGATTTTTATAAGAATTGATATCGAAGTCTTTATTTATGACTTCTATTGAAATTGTTTCGGTTTCAATTTTTTTTTGTCATAACACATTTTTATTCATTCATTCACTAAGTCCCCATGTTTACATCCTATCCTTTTTATAGCAACTTATGACCCTTGGATTACCCCCCATAATTGAGGTAATAAGTGGTTGACTCTATAGCATAATAAAAGTAACCCCAATTATGTAAGATTCCAAGTGGATCCCACTTCATATGGCACGTGTCAAATTAAGGCTTGAGCCTTAGAACCCGCCTTTTTGCTCCTGAACTGTTCTTGTTGTAAAATGCATTAGTTTTGTAAGCATATGTATTTGGCTTGCTCCTTTCTTACCTGTTCTTTGTATTCTGATGAACTTTTATGGTTAATTGGTGTAAGTTATAGTGAAATTTCAAATCTTTTTCCTTCCATGTTTTCATGTATTTGAACTTTTCATTGTTCACATTGCAGGTTGGTTGGATTGCCCTGCAGCTGGTCAGGAAATAAATTTTATTATCCCTTCTAAAGTTCCACTTGGTGATTTTTTTAATGATTGTGTTGCTTCCGGTAAAAGATACTCTGTTAGGCAAGCGATTCGTCAACAAAGTTTTTTAGGAAGAAAAGTAAGTACTCTGAGATTAGACGTTTTATTTTCTCCCTGGGTTCTGGAGACTGCGACATGTTATTCTTGGAATGTAAAATGAATGTTACCATTCTTATCATTGGAAGAGAAAAGTATAGATCTTGAAACCAGGAAATGTTCCTTTTTTATTTATTATTTTTATAAATGTTTCAACTTTTTTTATCATTTCTCAGCATACTTCTTGAAAACCAGGAGATCCTTTCTTTTAAGTGTTTCAAATTATTTATTTATTTTTTAATCAATTCACCAAAAGAGACAAACTCTGCATGCAGGTTTGGGCAACAATTGCATGCATTGGAGGTATAAAATTCTTACTGAGGCTACAAATTTTTTGCATGCTAGATTAATATAAAAGTAGTTTAGGAAGTAGATGCTTTACATTCATCAAACAAGAAGCCCATAGAGCAAGGAGCTTAAGAAGATTCCTGTTATTGTGCACTTGTGCCAATTCAGAATTTTGGAGTGCCGGTCTGGAGGCGGTCCTATGTTGGAGCACTGGAAACACAGCAGCCCATCCAAAGGAGGGAAAGTGTGAAATTTGAAAAACTTTGGAACACTACTCTATGAATGAGAATGGTCCACGTTTGTGTTCATTAGTCACATTACACTCTTAGACGCTTTTTCCTAGTGAATCAGTCTTTGGCTTCTTCATATAACTGGTTTCCTTGAATCAATTGAGCTCTCTCAATATGTTACCTATTTGGGGGGAAAAAAAGAAAGGAAAAATTGGGTTCTCTCTTTTCTCGTCCAGCTTTTTGGGTAGCTTGTTATCATTCTTCTACCTCTAGGGTTTAGTGACAGCGATAAAGATTTTTGGATGTTGGAATTAATTTAAAAATAACTTTTCAAACAAGTCATTTTGATATATATATATATATATATATATATATATATATATTTTGATTTCTCTTTTTTCTTTTAACGGGGTTCTTAAATGGGAAGGTGTGATAAATCTAGCTTGCTGGGTTGAAGATATTCTTGTAATTTTGCAATAAAATGTGGTGTTACCTCTTATGTTTGCCTCTGTACATCTTGTGTATGCTTGGGTTTCTCCTTGTAATTAATTTCCATGCACTTTTGTTTTAGAAATTATCTACCTCACATGGAAATCGTTATACAAATTGCAATAAGAAATATAAAGAACTTATAAACTTAGTTAAATAAACTCCTTGTGGGACTAAAACTACTATCTAGATGCATATATGGAAATTTTAAAGCTCTATTCTCATGATTCATTAGCAATGTGACGCTCGCATTTCATAATGTCATTGTCATAAAAACCTGCAATATATTTAATGACATAATATTTTGATGATAATTTTTTTTTTATAATAAATGTAGTATCAATAATATTAGCTTAAATTGCTCATCAGAAAATTTTAGAATTGAACTTTGTTAATTGATGTTTCCAGCTTGGGTTAGTGATTGATCTTACAAATACTAGTCGTTACTATCCAGCGTCAGATTGGAAGAAAGAAGGTATCAAGTATGTCAAGGTGGGTTATGGATTGCTAAATAAATTTTGTTTCTAGTTACACTACACTTTTCTGACTGGTACTTAATAAACTTTAGTTTTTGATGTTGTGATTCAGATTCGATGCAAGGGGCGTGATTCTGTACCTGCTAACGAGGCTGTAAATTACTTTGTCTATGAGGTAAGTTTTCTCAGACACATTCAGGATATCTATATGCTTTTCTAATATGTGTGCCGGAATTTAACACCTTCTAAGTGAATGTTGTACGAGTAATAGTATATTCTTAATGTTGACAGAGAATAGTTCTCCACTTCTAGTTTCTCTTGTTGCAATATTGTTTTTATTTAGGGAGAATTAGATAGGTTCTTTCTGAGCAGTAACTGCAAAAGTAGAATTTCATACCCTTTTAAAGCACAAAGTACCAGCTTCTACCTTATATCTATAATAGCAAATAAGTTGCATTACAGCTAGAATTTTACTTTATTAGACAGTAGTTTATGAAGTTTTGAAGATGCTCAGAGGCTATGTTTAGCATTTATTCGCTGTCTGTACCTGATGTATTTTTCTCATCCTTTTGTTTTACTTTTATATTAGTTCTATGTTGGTTTGTTAGTGATCCAAGAAAGGCCAGCATGCTTTTCCTTGGGATTTCCTTAAGCCTTAAAAGTTATATATTCAGAGAAGTTGCTTATAATGATTGATATATAATTGCTGTTTGTCAGGTTTCACAATTTCTCGATTGTCACAAGCACTCAAAGCATATTCTTGTCCATTGTACACATGGGCATAACCGCACAGGGTATATGATTGTTCATTACCTTAAACGTACACAATCAATATCAGTCACTCAGGTGAGTTATATGTTAATTTTCTTTCAGCTTCTCTTCTTGTTTGATTCCATCGAAAAGTCCACTGTAGAATTATTTGGCTTCTCACTGTGCAGGCAATTGAAAAATTTGCCAAAGAACGGCCACCAGGAATCTACAAAGCGGACTATATTGATGCCTTGTACAACTTTTATCATGAAATAAAGCCTGAACTGGTCAGTTGTCCTCCAACTCCAGAGTGGAAAAAATCTTCTGATCTTGATCTTAATGGTGATGCAGTGACAGACGATGACGATAATGGAGGTCCTGCTGCTCCTTTGCATGTAAGCGGACTATATTAAAGTTCTATTTTTTAACACGCTTTAAATTGTCAGAGGATATGCTTAAGCTTTTGGAGTAGATGGTTGTTAACATAAATGATATCATGAAAATGAAGCCCAGTGAGGAAATTTGTTCTGTATGCATTGCTGCATTGTATAAGCAAGAAGGGAAATTATATTTGAGAACAGCAAATACTATTTTCCAGTCATTTGGAATATCCAGTCCCTTCCTGCTACCAGCTTCACCCACAAAGCTAGACATACTTGGGATGCACTGGGAAAATTGTCTAACCTGGCTAGCATATTTCCCTTATCAGTTTCGTTTTAATAATATGGTATGTTGAGTGCTTTACGCTGGCTTGCTGTTGTTGTTGATGTAATGGATTGGCATATGCCCCCTTTATTCGTTTAGTTGTTTTTTTAGAACTTTATCTTCATGAGGTTACTAAACACCAAAGTTTTATTATAGTGTAGGGAATCAATTGGTTGCCTATAAAGTGAGGTGGCCAAAAGGTTGATGTTGAGATGAATTTGTGACAAATTAAGAAAGGAATTATTATTTTTTTGGAAAAGATACATCATTTGAGCGTAAGATGAGGGCTTTGGCTTAGATGGTTAAATTACATGCAACAAAGACCATGCTGCACAAACGAGGTGCGGTGACAGGTTTTGGCTGAAGTTTTGTAAGGACATTGGAAAGATCGTACTGGACTTTTATCTTACCTGTAATTTGGCAAAATCTATGGCCTTTCAGAATTGGTGATTATTGTTGAAGCCACTGATTTGGTGCAATATAGAGTTTATTATTTTTAGCATCAATGATGACATGGGATATTAAAAGATATATATATATATATATATATATAACGACAAAAATATTTTGTATATATATATATATTTTGCCATTTTCGTTTGTCTTCTATTTTTTGTTTTTATTTTGACATTGCAATTATCAAGGAAAAAGAACGTGGCTTTTGGTTGCCATCTGTTGTGACTTTGATTTTCCCCCAAAATCTTGTCTTTTGTTGCTTTAATGTACCATTTTTTTTTTCTTTGTTTTACTCTAACTTAGATGTTTAACACTCTTGGTCCATAACTCATTGTTTGACACGATTCATCTGGTTACTATACTTTCTGTTGTATTGGAAAACAAAATTTTGGCTCTATGCATTTTACTTAAATTGACACTTAATCCTGCTTATCTGATTTCTCTGGTCCCCCCCCTCCCCTTTAGTTTTAACTTGCCTCTATTGTTTCAGGAGAATAATGAGATAGATATTGTAATGACAAATGATGATGTTTTGGGGGATAATATACCTTTTGACCAGCAAGAGTCGATGCGACAGTTCTGCTATCAATCACTGAAGCTGAGTGTAGGGGTAGGCAAATCAAAATATCTACTCCATTTTGATGTTTGGACTCGTTCAACCTTATTATATCTGAATGCATAGATATGGAGATTGGGTGTCCCAGTGTCATTTTAATTCATTTTATTTGCAACTTCATTTACACCCATTGTTATCTTTTTAGCATATTCATGTTATTCTAGGGTTGCTTTTAGTTGTTCTTCTGGTCCATCAAGATATTTCTCGCATCTTTAGTGCTTGGGTGCACTATAGCCTGTAAATTACTCATTCAATGTTATTTTTTTATCTTACTATATTTATTTTGTTTTTACTATATAAGGCTTCAGTTCTTAATTTTTGGCACTGACCTTGTTCCTGCTTGAATAAGACTTGAAGTTCCCAAAATTTGAATCTTATTAAACAGTCTCTTACTGTTTTATAAATCTAAACCAAAATTAGTTGTAAGAATGTCAATATTGGAATTATATCTAAGGAAATGCTTATTTCTTGTCACTTATGCTTTAATTATCATCTTGGTTTTCAGGCAAGAGGAAATTCTCAATTTCCAGGTTCACACCCTGTTTCTCTTAGCAGGTTGATCTCAGTCTCCTCTTCATTACTAATAGTTATGGTTTGCTGTTCTCTTTTTCTATAAAATCAATCATCTTATGTACGACTCTGTGTGATCCTCAACCACAGTGACTGTACATCAAGTTAGGGTTCTTCACTTTGTCGTAGTTGGAAAAGAATGTGCCAAAAAATGGGATAGTCTCTTAGTCACGGGTTTTGATGCTATGCATTTAGGCACACAAGCGTATATTTTTTAGAGGAGAGAATGTAAAATTTTGCTCTTCATGAGATACAAGAAACTTTTTTTTCTTGAAGACATTAAATGTGATCTTTGATACTAGTAATAAACTAACGATTGATAGTGGTGTTACTTGTGCTTGGTATCACTACGTGAAAAGTTACGATTTATGGATCTGTTGAAGTTCCAGCTCCTAAAAGTTTGGATACGGGGTCATTATTCTTCTGACTTAGGGCTTCGTGGTTTCTCTTGTTCATGGTGATTTTGGGTGCTGTATTGTCTTTGGTCCTAGCCTATAATGACAAAAATCTTTATGTAACATAGTTTTTAGGTATTTCACTTTTTATGAAGTAATAATATTACAGAATTGAATTATTTGATACGTTATTTTAGGTGCATATCTAATCAAAAGTGTCGGACATATATCCTATACCCCTGTCCAATCCATGTACTTTGTGATTGACCATGGATAACTTTACCCACTTTTGAAGATTCCATGTAACAAACATAATGTAGGATTTAAATTCACCAATTGCTATAGTTGACTGGTCTACCCTGAGGAAGCCATTCAACAAGGCTGGATGCACAAAATTGTAGTCTTGGAGGGGTTTCCACAAGCCCAGGTTGTTGGATGATTGCATATTATCACTATCCTAATGATTGGTTGACCTATTTTTAGCAAGAATATAATAATGTCTCAAATGGGATTTGTCATTTGAAGTTAATCTTAGTCCCACTTCCTGGAAGCACGTGATTGAACAGCACGAGTGCCAACTAAAAGCTGTTATTAGCATCTCCATGTCGCAGTGCTTCTTATTAGCTGATGCATCTAACTTGAATTCTTTATTGGAAAAACTGGAAATTGTATTGGATAGGAAACAGGTAGCAAAAATGATGCTTAGAGCCTTGGAAAACCTGCAACTACTGCACTTTGTTCTGTAATACAAGTTCCTCTTGAGAATGTTAATGAACGTGTCATTCATACCACATTAGTCTTGAGCAATTCATGTCATTGATGTTATGTACTTGTATATGAGATATTTTTATCCAACATTCCTCGTTGATTATTATCTCACTTTTTATAACAATACAATTCATATTTGTGGTGTGCAGGGGAAACTTACAATTATTAAGGCAACATTACTATTATGCAACATGGAAAGCGGATGGAACGCGATATATGATGTTAATAACTATGGATGGATGTTACCTAATTGATAGGCATTTTAATTTCCGAAGGGTCCAGATGAGATTTCCTTGCAAAAACACCAAGACTCACCACTACACGTTACTTGATGGGGAGATGATAATTGATACTTTGCCTGGCTCGCAGAAGCAGGAAAGAAGATACCTGATCTATGATCTTATGGCAATTAACAACGATTCTGTCATCGAGGTTAGATATAAAATAAATTACATGATACTGTGCTCATTACCATTCTCACTGGTGCCTCTACTTGCAGACCATGCATCACACTCCATGATACTGGTTTTGCACCTAATTTGTTAGTGTCCTGTTTCCACCAACACGCATGTAGTTTGATAACGTACTGTGGAACATTGTAAATATAAGCAATGCTAGGAGTTATTGAAACGTATGGACAAAGCCACAAGGCTATTTTCTGGGAAACAAGTTACCCCAGGATTACTTGATTGATATGAGTTGTTTTGTCAGAGTGATTTCAATTCATCCCTAGCAACTTCCTTTTAACCACTTGTCAAAGAATGTCTTTGGGTTTGGGTGTTAGTGAATTCGCAATCATAATATTAAAAAGGCTAAATTGCACTAAACACCATTGAACTATTAATTTGTTGCAACATTCACCCCTAAACTATAAAACTCAGCAATTAAGCCCTCAACCTATCAAAATGTTTCACATTGACCCCTGAACCAAATGAACGCTAAAAGATTGGTGTGCAACGCCCATGATACATGAAAATAATGTATTGATAAAAGTTCCATTCGTTATCTATTGACTTGAAAAATAAAAAGAGGGGAAAATGAAAAATATCAATATTAGTCTTGAAATATATAGTGCGTGTCTCTTGCATTGGTCTGAGGACACCGAATCTAAAGACAGCACAACCTCTGACAAAGATTCTGTCACCGATGGAAGCTCGGAGAACAATTTGAACCGAGAATTGAAGAAAGCAAGAAGGATACATGACCAGCGCGATGAGGAAGGTGAAGGAAGAGTAACAGAGAATATGTTCCTAATAGCCCCAAAACTGCAAAGCTGAAACATTCTTTATCAATCAAATTTCCAAATGAAAACAAGGATTTTAAAGGCGATGATGGTGAAGGAAAAGAATTAGATGGGTATGCATAGAACTCAATCGATTATTACACAAACTCGAGACCATATGTATACGCGAACTCAAAATTCTAGATAGAAAGAGGGTGGATGGAATATGAATCACATGTACTGTTTACACATATAGATAAATATTGTCAAGATAGATTGAAGGATAAAATGGTTATATTAATGGGTAAAATGGTAATTTCACATCTTTTAATGGCTAAATTTTACAGCTATTTAGTTCGGGGGTTGATGTGTTTGAGGGCTTAATTGTTGAGTTAGTTCAGTGGTGAATTTTGCAACAATTTGATAGTTCAGGGAAGTTTAGTTCAATTTGGCTGATTAAAAAACCAACTTAGAAACTGCTTGTTATCTGATGCATCAGAGATCCAATAATTGGTGTTATATAGATCTTGTCCTTGCATCTGTTGTTCCATTTCTTTTGACCAAACAAAGTTTCTCTCTAATAAGTGTGACGGTGTTAACAAATATTAAGAGGATGTTAGGAAAATCTGTAGTATCAGTAAATGATATCTGCTTTGATAGTGAACTTCTGTTCTAATTTCTTTGTGTATATCTGTTTTCTGTTTGGCACCTACTGGATCGTTTCTATTTCTTTTTCTTTGATTTTTTGTTTTTGCTATTGATGTTTAAATGAGTATAACATGCAAAACCAGCTAGTTTGCTCATAACCGATTTAAGCCATCATTGTCAAGTGTGTATACCGTCCTCCATCAATTAGATCTATTTTTGAAGCCTTATATATGAAATTATATTATGTTCCCTTACCTCGATGAAAATATTTCATGTAAATAACATAATTTATGAAGTAATTTTGTGTGACAGTAACTAGATATGAACTTGATATATGTTTTAGTCAATAATCAGAATTGATAGCCTAGAAATTATTTTATTTGCCTGAAAATCCAAGCTTCTATATGATCATTTATTTAAGGCGTAGAGCATTATGACAATGCACACGAGCTAAATCGGTCAAATGTTAAGCTTTGCATGTTCAGTTTTAAGTCACTTACATATTAATATTAATTTTCTAATTATGTTGGGTCATATCATGAAGCTGAGTGGGATGACTCTATGGAAGAAAGGCCTTCTCATGTAAATTTTGGACCCTATGCAGCTCTGGTTGGCACAGCAGGTGTCAGACTTTTCATAAGAACATTGTGTAATTTGGGACATGTTGCCAAAATCAACTGGCACTTCTTGTTGCAAAAAGTATGATTGTAAAGTTAAATCTTAAGAAGGATATAATAAAAAATCTGGGTCTTTGGATAGAGAAATGAAGGCTTTCTGTTAGAATAGGTTGATGAAGTACTGGGAGAATGTAGGTATATTGGTAATTTACCGTGTTCTGCACTAAATAAATATTTAGTAAAAGATGTATCATTGTCATATCCATGTCTGTGCTACAGTTACAACACATTTTCCTTTCTGCTACAGATTCCAAAAATGAATGATGGTTGGAGGGGCTTTTAAACACACTTAGATTAATAGGTTGCTTAATAGAAGAGATGCAATTTTTAGTGTGGGATTTCATCGCTATGAAATCCCATTGTTTTTACTTAGGACATGATTGTAAGATTTCAATTTGCATTGGGATTGTGTAGTGGGTTTTTTATTTTCATTTCTTCTGGCCTCTGCAATAATACATACGGATTGAATTGAAGTGACTTCATTGTTTCTGTTTGGCACTAGTAGAGAGCCTATTTGGGAATACGTTTAAGGTCAATCATGCTATCTTATTTAGCCAGTTTAAGCCGTGAAGAATGCCTGGAAAGATTGTGAAAGTCATTTACTGGCTTGTTGTACAGGTAATCAGTGGATTTCCGAGTTTATGGGGACTGAATCTATATGCTTTCAACTGCTTGGCTATTTTATATGCGTTCTATACCCAATATGATTTGTATATGTGATGAGATGTAATAATGGTTTCTAGCATCTTCCAGTAATTTGGTATCATCAAATCATATGAGTCTTTGAAATTTCTTTTTCATAATTTTGACCCTCATTATTTGATGTTTTTGTTATATGAATTTCCATACCCGCCCCCACATCCCCCTTCCTTCCCCCCCCTTCTGAAAGTTCTGCTATTGTGATGGTATGATATTGAATATTGATGCAGTGGCCTTTCCATGAACGCTGGAAAATGATTGAGAATGAAGTGATTGAACCTCGGAACTATGAACGCTTTCCAACGCCTGATAAAAAAGTGATTGAACCTCAGAAATATGAATGTTGGAAAAACATGAACCTGAGTAGAAATCCTTATTACAGATACGACTTGGAACCATTTAGGGTATGTTTTTTTAGGACTGTGGAAGATTAACTGCAAATATTAAATATTTCAATTTTCTTTTTCTACTGGGATTGGTTATTGATTTGCTTAATAAGTTTATCAGGTGAGGAGGAAGGATTTTTGGTTGCTCTCTACCGTTAACAAACTTCTTATGGAATTCATTCCAAGGCTTTCACACGCAGCAGATGGTCTTATTTTTCAGGTGCTTAAGGATCGTATACTTTGATATATGAGTTTTAAGAAGTAAAAATGAATCTGACTTTTGTTGGCCTTTGAGTCATCAACTTTTCTGTTGAAGTTTGATGTACCTTGTCTAAGAACTTATTTAACAATATTTCTCTGCTGCAGACAAATTGTGATTCTGCAATTCATATAATGAAATAGCCTTTTGTCATATTTTCAATTGTTATATTTGTCAGTATTCGTTGTGCAATATATGTAGTTCATATAAAGCCCATCTCCAAGTTATTCAGGTTTAGCATATTAGAAGTGATAAATGTGTTCCTTAAAACTGGAGTTGAGATTATTGTTTTATATAGAAGTGTCTACCGATGGTCTTTCTTTTCCAGGACTGGGATGATCCTTACGTTCCCAGAACGCATGAAGGCCTCTTAAAGTGGAAATATATGAACTCGGTCGACTTTCTCTTTGAGGTTGTTCTATCAACTTTATTGTCGCAGCTATTGCTTTTGGTGTCATTTTTTGTCATACTGGCTACAAATTTCACTGTCACCACCTTCTTGTTGTGCTGACAGATGATTGACAATCGCCAGCTACTTTTTCTGCATGAAAGAGGGAAGAAGAAGCTGATGGAAGGGAATAGGGTTGTTTTTAGTGGTTAGTGGATTTCTTCTTTTTTGTTTGACATCTTCGTTAATGTGTCAACAATATGACAAGCCGTGAAGCGTTTTTGCATTTTTTCCGATATTGGAATATCTTGAAGTTGAATGCTTGTCTCTATAATTTTTTTTCCTTATTCTTTTTCAATAACTTGTACGAGTACAAAAATAAATTGGTTTGCATGCCATACAATAAATACATCCTAATTATGAGTTTTTTATTATTATTTATTATTATTATTTTTTATTGTGATGCTAGGACGAATAGTTGATATATACTATATTTTTTTCCTAGTTGAAACTTGCACACCCATTTTGTTTCCATGGGACTTGAACCATCGATCTTCTACTTTGGGCATTTGATGTTTTTCTACTTTCATGATTTTAGTTTTTGAAGTACTGAGGTGAATGTTTTAATCACATAATTCAAAATTGTAAATGGACTTTTACTTACCATTAGCTGAACTACTTAATTGTGTGATCTGTTGCTGTACATATTCCATGTTACCATTTTGTTACTAAAGAATCCACTTAAGAATGGTGGCTCAGATTCACGGTTTTATTTCCATCAATATTTAGGGTATTAACACAAGCTTAGTTCAGTATCCGAAGGCATCAGCGCTTCTGGTTTTCTGGAGGATTTGACCCTGGAGAGAGCTAGTTGAAATAGGTTACGCACGACTGACCGCAGTTAGTTGACATGGGGTTTGGTGCCTTATTATGGCTATCCTTTCTTATTTTATCAGTTTATTCTATTGTTCTGCAATGTCTGGAGGAGTTAAGATGCATTTGGATTCTCCTAACTATATAATGTGCTTATTATCCCTCTGCGTGTCAGGCATAATGCCGTTAAATTAGTTTATGAGATGATGGTAATGTGCAACTCATGGTTGTGTTTGAGCCAAATATGTGGTGAAACAGTGCCCTCTAAGTAATAGAAACCAAGCAGAAGATCAAACCACTTATGGGAGTCTCAAAAGATTTGAGATGTACTTGGTTGTTGCGCTACCGTGTCACTGCATGTCTGGCAGCATTACCAGTTTAGTGTATTTGTAATGTGGCTAGCTCAAACAGTTTCTCCTTGCATGTTGCTAATTCTAGATGGGAAATTTCATTGTTTAATGAAGTTAATATCAGGTCTCCTGAGAGTCGCTGCCATTTGGTTATTTTTATCTAAATCATGCTGGTTTGGTAAAAGAAATTTGGGGGGTTTTCCTTCTCTCACACACTCTCTCTCTTATTTTATTTTAAAAAAAACCTACCAGATTTCAAGACCTGCAGTTACAGTTAAGTCTAGCGATTTATTTCTGGATAATGATATTTGTGAAGTATTCCAGAGCTGGATTTATTCTTTGTTTGAACACTTGGTGTTGCAATTTTATTTGGGTGCATTCTTAGGTGTCTCAAAAATGGTTGTTATTTTGTTTGTTATTTTGATTTTTTTGTTGTGTTTTTTTTTTTTTTTTTTTTCAACAGATGATTCTGACCCCTTGTTGTACTCGGGGAAAATTGTTGAATGTTCTTGGGATTCAGAGAAAAATGTTTGGGTCTATATGCGGACAAGGATTGACAAAGGAACTCCAAATGATTTCAATACCTACAAGAAGGTGCATCTCATTACCATTTTTATGTAGATTGTTTCTCAAATCAGTTTTAATCTATCTGACTAAATGAAGGTGTTTGCTGATCTAAAAACAGGTGATGCGAAGCATAAATGATAATATCACTGAGGATTTATTGTTGAATGAGATTCATGAGATTATTCGCCTACCCATTTATGCTCATAGAATACAGCATGATAGCAAAGCCTACCATCATCCACATGGGAATAAGGCAAGGATGATGATGAGCAAAGCCCACCACCACCATTCAAATTTCGTGCAACGTAGGTGTAGGGTGGAGTGACTATATGAAATATGATATCTCCAGTGGAAACTAGTAACTGGAAAACCTCCCATTCCCCACTGAGGTATGCCCTTTGCTGCAAGTAATTATGGAGTTTTAGTCAATTTAAAGTTGGGTATGTTCATGGCTGTAGTAGCAAAAGGGTCACTTGGAGTATTGTGTAACTAGTTACCATTTATTATAGCATTGTAACGTGTGCTGTGCTGTGCTGTGCTGGTCGGTTGTATGATCCAGTTGGTACATGGTAGCTGACATTATTGGGCTCGGTTTGTGTAGGCTCGCATATGTTCTGAACATAGGCTCGTATAGGGATTGTGAACACGCTAAGAAACATAATCTTGTATAGGTTCATGATTATAAGCTCATGAACATGTTTAGGGTCATTTTTGTTCATGATTCAGGGCTGCAAATGAACTGAGCTGTTCATGAACAGCTCAGGCTCAGCTCGTCAAAAGTTCGGCTCGGGCTTGTTTATTTAGCAAGTGAGCCAAACTTGAACATTAACTTTGGGTTCGTTTAGTAAACGAGCCAAGCTTGAATAATGTTAGGCCACCTCGTTAGGCTTGTGAACAAGCTCGTTTACCAGTCCAACTTAATTTTCTTATCCATCCCATATGTGTAAACAATTTTGTCCAACCCATATATATAAACCCACATGTAAAATACATCTCATTATCAAAATGAAAAGCCCAACAAACTAAATTTTCCCATATTCACTTCAAAACTGTTCTGCCTATCATCTCTCATTTTCTACTAAGATCGGCGACGATCGTCCTCACTTTGGCCAACCCTAATATCATTTCCCAGTTCCCACCGACCACATGATGCCCTACCCTCTCATCTCTCATTTTCTACAAAGATTGGTAACGGTTGGCCTTTCACTTTGGCCCTTTAGTATTTCGTATTCTTCAAGGACATCAATGGACGACTAGTGAAATAAATTGCGAAAGGAGAATGATGCACAACCGTTGACGATTTTAAATAACCTCAAGGTATGCAAACATATATATATAGCTATACATATGATTTGTTCGTCTGTATATACACACAAATTTGGCATGTACTATATATATTAGATTGAAAACATATACATGAATTTGTCATGTATTATAAATACATATATATCTTAGATTGAAATGGTGTATATATGTGTGTGTGTGTGTGTGTGTGTGTGTGGGCAAATGAGTACAGTCGAGCCCGAGCTTGTGGATATATCTTGACGAGCCAAGCCCAAACACCTCCCTGACTGACTATGGCGAGCTGAGCCCGAACATGCCAAAGCTCGGCTCGGTTCATTTGCAACTTTATTCATGAATAAACCCAATGATCTTGAACACGAGTTAAAATTGAGCCTCAGTGACTTTTGTTATTAAATGAGCCGAGCTCAAGATCAGTTTTTCAGGCTCGTCACGCTTCTGAGCCAAGCTCTAGTTGAGCCCACAAACGAACGAGCTGAGCCTGATAGGCTCAAGCTCGGCTTGGTTCGGTTCATTTGCATCCCTAATTGACCTCATGTATGGAACTTTTCTTCCATGTTTTTATTAACACTATTAATTTTTTATTTTCTTAGTGGATGTTAGCCAGGGTTAAGTACAACGACCTCCCCGGAGGTTTGCCTTACTTACACAGATGAAAAATTTGAAAAATCTTGTAATTAGTTTTAGGGTTTAATATAATAACCTCCCCTAAGTTTTGCCCTAATTACACATGGATGAAAGTTTTGAAAAATCTTGCAATGACCTCCCCTCTACCGATTTATGGCTGATGGGCAATAAAAAAAATAATGTGAAATTACTCTTATACCCTGATTATTTTAACAATAAAATAATGAGAAATCTAGTATTATGAATTGATATTTTTCCCCTTTTGATTGTAAAAATTATTCTCCTATCTTCTCTCTCTTCGTCCCACTCTCAATTCTCTCTCCTCTCAACCACTGTCAATGTCACCACACCCCACGGCCAGCTCCCCGCACCACCTCCACCATCCCCTTTCTCTCCTCTCTTCTCCCCCTTATGCTAACTTCGCTACCTTCTCTCTTTTCATAATTATATCCATATATATATATATATATATAGCTTCACCATTTATCTTTCCCTCGCTTCGCCCATCTAGACCCATTTCTCTTTCGCTCAAATTTTCTGGTTAGGGAAATGAGCATTACTGTTCTTCATTTGATTTGAATCATATATATATATATATATATATATATATATATATGTATGTATGTATGTATGTATATAACTATGTAAACCTACCTCAAATCTTCAAGCCTGGGAAGGAATCAGTGGTTTTCAGTGATGCTGTTGAATTCTTCCATGATGACAGTGAGTCAGGACGACAAGCATTAGTGGATTTGGTCATTTTCATCTTGAATTTAGTTTTTTTTTGGGGTCATTTTTCATCCTTGATATTGGGGTTTTGGGTTTTTGATTAGGGGTTTGAGAGGGACAATGGGAATGTTGTTTGGGTTGTGTTTGGCTGATGGTTTTCTGATTATCTACTGTTGCCGGCACGACGAGTGATAAATGTTTATCTGATGTGCAGGGGAAAAACAGAAAAGCTAAAAAAGTACCAAAAAGAAAAAGATGTGAAATTTTTTGGTACTAGAGTTGTTGAGACGAGCAGTAGAGAACTTCTTGGCTGAGTGGACTCTCAAAGCCCACGAACTGGCGGCCATTAGTCCGGTTGTCAGTTTTCATGAAGAGTGGGTTACGGGACACCTAATGATTTGAGAACTTGAGATGCAGACTGCCTGTGTGTGTATATACTATTTTTCTGATTAGGGGGTGGATGGTGCGGATCTCTAATGGTCAATGTTTTTTTATAAATTTCACTAGCTGATAAATGCTGTATAAATTTGAAGACCCATTTGCATCCTTTGAAGGCTTTGGGAAGGTAATAGAGATATTGGTGATCATAAATACATATATATATGTCTGTATGATACTGCTAAGTATATATGTGTGTGTGTGTGTGTATTAAACTCTCATGGCCATGGAGTTGGTGGAGAGAGCGAGAGAGAAGTTGTGTGGTTGTGGGTGCTGAGAGAGAGAAGGGGTGGCAGTGATGGGTGGAAAGAGATAGAGAAGGGTAGTTTTGTTCGTAAAGTAAGTTTTATTTATTTTCTATAATATAATGCTATCATAATGTTAGTAATGTCTTTTCAAGTAGGTTAATGGGCATTTTTGGTCTGTGCATGCCAAATTTTTGACAGAACCAACAGTTTTTCGAACAGTTTGATTCATGTGTAATTAACCCTTAGTTTTATAAAATGGTCTTGTATTTTCTTGTATATGATCAAGGTCGGTGTATTTAACCCTTAGTCTTGTAAGATGGTCTTATATTTTCTTGTATATGATTCATGAAAAGTTTTATTAAATTTTCTGATCTTTTTCTTCCTTTCGTTTACGTCTCTCCCTCTTGAACTTATCCGCTATCATAACGTACACAATCTGCAAAGCATGCTCTTCAATATCCCCATTTGGTGCTAATTGTGCAGCTGTTGAAATGATACGATACCAGTTAAGGTTACTCTTCAGCTGATATATTGGTGGCTTCTTCTTCTTCTTTTCTTATTTTTTGACAAGTGATTTCCTGATAAGTGATTTACTTGTGTCATAAGCTTGAAAAATACAAGAATGACTGTTGATGATCTTCTTGTTGGACTACCACGTCCTTGCAAGGAGAAAGGGTGACCGCACTCCATTTCAGAAACCGTTTGTGTTTCTTCTATTTTCAGCCTAAATTGAACGTGGACGATAATTGTTGTGAGACATGGATTTGGTGCAGTCCGCAGAAGAATATTGTGTAAGCTCTGGTGTGTATCCTGTGCCGAATCAGGAGCTAAATTAGTTTTGCTTTGGAAATGTAATAGTAGATCGGTTGATCAGAGATGCTCTCTGGATTTATGGGATTTCTTGAATGGGCATAACATGGTGGACATTGTTGACATCTTCAATTTTTATGTGGAGCACAGCATTGCATGGCTAGTTTAGTCAATGGTGTTCTATTTGTGAATATTTCTTCTCTGGTGCCTATGTTTGTGCTTGGGTAGTAATGTTGATGGGAAGGTGTCACTTTAACTGAAGTTACTACATTGAATGATTAGTGTCTGTTTGGGACTGTGAAACAACACCAATCACTTTGTGATTCATAATGCAAGTGTACGCCATTAAATATTTGTGCATAAGGTGACGACAGTTGCAGTCAGAGGCAAGTATGAATGTCGATGCCACCATTTGAAAGTAAACAAGAGTATGATCAAATCAACAGAAATTGAAAAAACCAGAGAGAATCAAGAATTCTCTACTGCTGCGTTTGTTTCGATATAAAATTATTTCTTTGGAAAATAATTTTCTTTTTTTAGTTAACATATATTTTTTATTTTTACTTATTCGGTGTTCAACAGAGGTCGAGGTTGAGGTTAAATTTATCAAATGGGACGCGTAAAATAACTTGTTAAAAATTGATGGGTAAGTTATATTTGTTAGATTTTTTTTTTTTTTCGTAAATATTTTACGACAATTAAACACAAGAAAATAAAAAAATATTGAATTTTTTTTTTTACACCCAAACAATTGGAGTTTAAATGTTCAAAAAATTAAATGATCCACATATTATTCATGCGATATATTATTAGTGGCTCTCTACATATGAGAGTGGGCTTCAACTTGCAGATTCACTCTGCAAATTTGCAAGACAGTTCGTGTTTGGAGGGGAAGAAAAAATCCAATGAAATGGCATCAACTTGCGATTCACTTTGAAAATCTGAGACAAAAGTTGGAAGAGCAGATTCAAGAGTGACATTAGTTAACTGTTAGCTGTAAAGGTATCATCATCATCTATAAAAGTATAATCTTCCTCGGTTAGTTGTTGACATGGTCAGGAGTCGCATTTTCCCTATTCAAGGGCAATAATTCCATGTCCCCATCAAGTTAAACAATCCCACCGCTTGTGTTTTTTGGTTGGCATTGTCACTAGTATTATTCCCTTTTCTTTCACCTTCGGAAGGAGAAAGTATTGGGTACACTGGGTGCATTGTGCATCGGACTCATTTGAAATGTAAGTGCTTGCGTGTTATATAAGTATGGAATTTTGGAGGCCGTAAGAAAGGACATGTAAGGGGGTAATAGGACCAGTGAGTTGACTGATAGATCTATTTGCAAAAGCTGTACACAAATTTTAATCTGGACCGTTTATTTATCTTTTTATAGCTAGCCTATTCTCTCACATTTCCTCTCCCCTCTCTCTCTCTCTAAACCACTCTCCTCCGTCTAAATCTTGGCTTGCCCCTTCTCTGTGCACAAATTTTAATCTAGACCGTTTATTTAACTTTTTAGTGGGTGCCGTGCACACTCAATATCTATTCCTATGACAAATCAAACAAGTTTCGTTTAAGATGTTTTATTATTTTATTGCTAACATTCCACCGATCACATTTGAAAAGATACATAAATTATGTATGTCACTCTCCATTGTGCATAACAACATATACGCATTGATCGGGTTCAATGGTTTTCTTACCAATTACTTCTCCTTTGAGCAGTAAGTAACGAAAGATCAATTGAGATGGATTCAAATTGAGCATGTATAATCTTTCATTTTCATAATATTATATGGTACATGACTAAGAAAGTGAAAGGAAACAACAATGTGTTCACCCATTTAAGTCCATGACCCCGCCTACCCGGATGCTGATCCAAACAGCTGGGGTCTTGCTTGGCATGACACCTGATTAAATGGGTTTGATATCACTTGTAATGAACCGAATATAAAATTTAAGTTGTTAAATAATGCTATATAACCTATCCATGAGGTCCCAAATAAGTTCACGACCTTTGTCAATCGAATTCGACCGTGGGACAATAACTTCTATCATTTATCGCACAGTGCAGGTTTGTTACAATAAATTCCATTAGGTGTAACTAACATATTAATTGATGTTTGCACCTAAATGATGGAATTTTTTTCCCTGCTAAATGTAATTGCTTCCTCTGTTGGTTGGCTTGCTTTCGTTTGTTCATGCTTTGCTAGGCCCCCTAGACTAAATGGGTTGCACTTATAGGTACATTTAATTTATAATGTACAGCTTATCCTTTTGTGTATATATATATATATACATACACACACATACTGGATACAACACAAGTCCTCAAAAATACATTGTCATGTGTTTATCTGTTTGTAAATAAATGGTTTAGATAGACACAAATCAATAGTTAGAGTTTATATATTTTTATATATAATCAACGGGTCACTAGTCTAACGGCATTACGCTCTTACTTTGTAAAGGGAGATTAGGAGTTCAAATTCAAATTTAAGTAAAAGTATGTGTGTGTAAATACCAATAAAAAAAAAAAAAAATTATATATACATTTACCGGGAAAAAAAGTATATATACTTCAAAAATATATATCTAACCAATTTCATATAGATGGAAAAAAATATATACATATAGATCGATGACCAATTATCCCCCACAAATATGACCATGACCTTTAGTTAATAGGCTTAACTCTCTTACGCCTACCATTAACACAAATAAATCTTACTAACACAATTGTTGCCATTAAAACAAAATTAGCACAACCGATGAAAAGACTCGCAACCTTCACAAGGGCATTAAAAATATATAAATCAATTTTAATATCTAACATTGTCAACAAACTATAGTCAGTTACAAAGAAATTAGATAAAATAAGTCCTAACAAAATTTAATGGAGATTCATCAATTTAATGCTTTTATTTTACTTTTCCCGTGTTTGTAGTTATGAACTTAAGTACGTGTGACAGATTTCCGTCACCTTTTATTTGAACAATGTAAAAATGATGCAAGCAGCCAAGCAATTATCAACGATGTAATGTAAATATTAAATTAAAAATTAAAAATATTAAGATATTTACGATATCGTACCTTTACATACTCGTTGCACTGTGAATTTAAAATTATTTCATTAATGATTTAAATTGATTCCATTGTCAATTTAAAATTATTATATTATTGTTTTGAACGCATTGAAGGATCTAAATTTGTATAGGACAAGAATCCTGATCTGTGACATACGTAGTATTATATTTCAATGTATATTTGCATATAATTGAATGTATTTTTTTTTTTCCTTTCCGAAATGGTTAATATTTCAATGTATATTCGCATATAATTGAATGTATATTTTTTCCGAAATGGTTATATGTATGCTATGATATGCTTAATGAAACACTTGCCTTAGTAGCCCAAAGCAAGCCAACCCAACAAGAGGAGGCCAAAAGAAAACAGACTATGCAAATTACATATTTGCAACTCCATAGATGGCAATATAATCCATCTAACACCATGTAGTTGTAATTATATATATATATTCGCATTATCTATTCCATAGTACTACATTACAAGTACATATGCGAATCCACAAGACCAAAAAGCTACCCATTATTTCCTAGTGTACTTTAGGGCACAATATACAAACTTACATTCACCAAACCCTAGGTTCCAAAGTCACCACCAACCCATTCTTCATGTAAAGTGTGGTTGTGATCTTTGGAACAACACCAAAACCTTCAACTACCTTTACTGAATAGCTCAACAGGATTGAAGCAGCCACCATCTTCATCTGCATGTAAGCAAACTTCTTCCCCACGCACAGTCTCGGCCCGGCATTGAACACCGGATACTTGAACTGATTCTCACTCACAAGCTCCCCATCCTTGAGCCACCTCTCCGGCTTGAACTCCTCGCAATCCTTCCCCCAAATGGACTCAATCCGAGCCATCGAGAAAATGGAGTACAAAACCCTTGCACCCTTTTTCACCACAGTCCCATCCTGAAACACATCATCCTCCTGAACCTCTTTGAAATCAATAGGCACCGGGGGATAGAGCCTTAGAGATTCAGAAATCGCGGCGTGCAAGTACACCATCTTCTTCAACTCCTCAGCAGTGAAAGATATGTCCTTCATTTCTTCTTTTTTCGACGCACGATGCCCTAAAATTTCATTGATCTCACTGAGAATTCTCTTTTCAACTTGTGGGTGTTTATGGACTAACCAGAAGAACCATGCCAGTCCCACGGAGCTCGTGTCTCGTCCTGCTAAAATGAAGCTTATGCAGAAATCTTGAAGAAACCTATCAGACAAGTAACTTTTATTGCTTTCTTCATTATGGTTTTGAGTGTCAATAAGCCTAGACAAGAGATCAGACCGATCTTTCAAGCCACCAACCTTACTCAATTCCATCCTCCTATCTCTCACTGTCTTCTCAGCAAAGTCATGGACAATTAGTACCGCTTGTTTGAGCCTCTTTTCGAACCCTACCCCGAAGAACTTCATGACCTTCCATACAAAAGGAGGCACCATGAATCTGAACAGAGTGAATTCTGTGGCGTCCTCAAAAGCTTTCGCGAAAGGGACATCCGGTAGGTTAAGTGACAAGCACCCTGGATCGACACCAAAGGCCGCGGTACATATATTATCAAAAGTGAACCTAAGAAATTAATGGGGATTAGTCCAAATAGTATGATCTCCCATCCTCAAAAGAGAGGTTGAGTGTAATTGTGTGTGTTTACTTAAACTTTCGGGAAAAAGAAGAAGAAAGAAATGAATGCGGACCTAAGAAATTAATTTTCATTAGTCTAAATGGTATAATCTGTACTCTCAAAGGAGTGGGAAAAAAGAAAAAAGAAAGTGAACCTAAGAAATTAATAATCATTAGTGTAAATAGTACGATCTCTCTTCCCCTAAATGAGAGGTTGAATCCTAAGGACAATATTGTGAATATATGCATGTTTAACAGAATTTTCGAAAAAAAAAGAAAAAAGAATAAAAAAAGATAGTGAACCTAAGAAGCACTTCTTGAAGATCAATGGAAGCTCCTGAATTGACCACTTTCTCTAGCAGCATCAACAGCTTGTGGTGCACCAAATCTTGGATAGTCTGCATAGAATACTCCACAAACCGGCTCGTGTGCATCTCCGAAGTCGCTGCTCGCCTCTGCTCCTTCCACATTTCACCATCAGCATTGAAGATGCCATCTCCAAGCAAGTCATGGAACCTCTCTCTGTAGTACTTCCCTTTAGGGAAGTTCTTGAACTTCGTCCTCAACATGTACTCAATCTTGGAAGGGTCAACAGTTATGATACCATAAGCACCACCCATCCACATCCCTTTGTAATGGAATGTGCCCCTAGTCTTGATCAAAGATCTGGTGGTCCAATCATAGATGTTGTTGACATGGAGGAACAAGGAGGGTATGATCCCCATCACTGGCCATAACATAGGACCCTTGTTGGTGAGTCTCTCAAGCATAGAGCTGAAGATGAAGAGGCCAAGAAGAGCAATTGCTAGGTCTGAAAACCATATATGGTCACAAACCCTATTGATTGCTGAGAAAACAACCCTCCCCATCATGTTAATTCTCTCTCAACTTGATTATAATTGTTTGATTGAAACAGTTTAGTGTGTGTGTATATATATATATACCCTTCAAATATATATATATATATATATATATATATGATGGGAAATTGAGGATGAAGAAAAGGAGGGTGAAGAGGGTATATAAAGGTGATTTTGGGAGTGGAAGTGTGGCAAAGGAGTGAGCACTTGTCAGGAACAAATTAAGTTGATGTTGTTGTGTGATTTTCTGGCAAGATGTGGAAGTCAAATTGAGAATTAATGCATATTGTTTATGATGTATATTATGATCATGACGCTATAAATGCAGGGATTTTGGGTGGTTTACAGATTTCTACTTTCTAGCAGTTTTTTTTGTTTGTTTGTTTTTGATAATTAAGTACCTTTTTTAATTAGCAGTTAGGTGTCTCAATTGGCAAAATTAATTAAGATTTAAGTTCCAAAATTACCCTCAGTGACATATGTTTAAGTAATCATATTTTATCCAATTACTTATGTGTTTTATTTTATTTTATTTTATTTTTTAAAAAGAACTTATTTGAAAGTCTATATAGTCTAAATTCCAAACATATACAAGTCCCATGCAGATAGGGAAGGGTAAAAAAAAAAAGATTATGAGAAAAGAATTCACAAAATCAAAGACATGAATCCAAACTTTTGGATGAGAGAGGAGCACTTTTTCTTTTTTGATAATTCAGTTAGTTATTTTTTTTTCTGCTTTTTTTCTTTTTTTTGGTTTGTAATTAGATAATTACATGAATATTATTCAAACTTTGGTTTGAATGGAATTTTCAAAGAAGAGGTGAGGGTTCTAGTTCTATGCTTACTTTAGGTACGTGAATGTATATTTTACCTACTAAATAGAAGTTAGAAGGATTTTACTCTTTCAAAAGCTGTAATTCTTAATATATTTATGTAAATTCTTCTAAATTAATTTGGAAATTAATTGTTAGGATAGTTGACCGTAGAATATATTATTACTATATTGTGTAATATATTCTAACCATGTATAAGTTTACTATATAGGGTTTAAATTTCTTACTCTCCACGCATCTTGTTACATATATAAACTCCTGTGTATCTCATATATCAATACAATATATATTTCTAATAGTATTTTTAAAGAAGAGGTGGAGGGTTCTAGTTCTATGCTTTCTGTAGTTATGTGAATGTATATTTTACCTACTAAGTAGAAGTTAGAAGGATTTTACTCTTTCAAAAGTTGTTTTATTTATTTATTATTATTATTTATAAATCTTTTGATATCCAAATCCCAAACTGCAAGATCAAGATTTTCTTATTCTATTTTCATCAGTTTTTGACACCTTCAGTCTAAAAAAACGTAGCCTAATTAAGGTAAAAATCTTGTGTCAACATCAGGAACATCTTTGTTTCCTATATACTATTTGGTAATATATGTCTTGCTCCCAATTTTAATTTTTTATTTTTGAAAAAATTGGTTTAAGATTATTTGGTAATTTCACTAGGCCTTAAAGCTGGGTTAGGTAACTTAGGTTTTATATTTAACATTTTAGATAGTAATTTCGTAATTTGGACGAAGTATCACAATAAAGATAAAATCATTTAATGCATGTTATCTAAAAACTTTTGAGAGAAGACAAATTGAAAATTGGACTCCAACTGCTTGACTAGATATTGAATTCTTTTCAACAAATCAATTACTCCTTCACCTGTACCTTTGCTTGTATGACCCTTATCACTTTGGTGATTTCTGTCATCGGCTTACAACTTGTTTGGTAGTAAGAAAAATGGATAAAGGAAGAGAAAGAAGGATGGAAAAGGGTAAGAGATGGAAAGCGAAAGAAAGGGAGAGGGAAACCCTTCCCCATATATATATATCCCTTTATCTTACAGGTTGGAGAAAAGAGTAAATTTATCTTTCCCTAATTTTTTATTTTATTTTATTTAAAAAATTTCCCTTTTAAAAACCCATTCAATAATGGTCAAATTACTTTGCCCTTTATCTATGAGGGGGAAAAAAAAAATTTACAAGAATTTTATATTAGAAAATTCTAAATTCCCATATGCATAGCATGCTTGTAACTAAAATTATGCTTAATTTTCACTCTAAGGAGTACTTTCTTTATGATATTTCAGTTTGTATAGCATCATTTGTTGTGAGAGCAAAACAATATATATTTGCTAAATTTTCCAAATATATATATATATAAGGCTAACAAGCCAAGATAAGCGATTTAATGGAAGAAGATAAGCATCTTTTCAAGGTGGTGAATCAAAATGGAAATGGTTGTTAATGAAGCGGAGAAAGATATAAATTCATTAGACATACCCATATTAGCATTTCTTGATCCCACTCATTTATTTTCTATCCACTTCCCAATTTAATTATCCCAACTAAACTTTGTTATGGTTAACATTTCATTGTCCTACTCATTACTTTCCTAACTGCATATTTCCAGTTTTAATGAGGGCAAAATGAAGAAAACCCACCTCAACTATTATTATATTTATTTAGAAAACCTCTTGAACTATAGAAAACCCCCTGCAAATCACTCCCTACAATTAACTTAAAAATAAGAACAAAAAGGCATATTATTTTGTCAAATTACTAATTTACCCTTTTATATTGTCCGAAATGCCTTCGGAGCATTTTTTGGATCATACAACAACCCATTGTAAGCAACATAGAATCGGGTTATTTCAAATTCATTTGTAAATTTTCCTAATAGTTCTTTGAATTCTCTGGAGCAGAGGGCTCTCCTACATATATATATATATATATTTTCTATTTATTATTTATTATTTATTTATTTATTTATTTTTATTATTATTATTATTTTTAAATATTACAGGGATGCTAGTGTCATTTTATATGGTCATTAATGGTGTGTGGATGAACTGTCCTTAATGGTAACTTTTTGATAGTTTGGAGGAATAGTTGCTTCAATATATTGAGGGGGAGGGGTATTTGCAGGTTTTAAAAAGTTGAGGGGTTTTAGTTCCTAAACTAAACTTATTATGGTTAACATCTCATTATTCTACTCTCTCTCATATGTGCATATATATGTTGGATTTTAATCAAATAATTCACATGTAGAAATCAAGAATATTATAATTAATTAAATAAAAAATTTAGTCTCGTACCTGATTGATGATTAAATCACATATACTTTTTTGATTTTGGAGGATAATTTTACAATTCTTTGTGATACTGCAAAACATTAGAGTGCTTTATCCATTTCTAAGAGTTGTCCTTTGATAGGATTGAATAAGGGTTTAAAACCCTTATATATAACAACTACAGGGGGGACGACTTTTCTACAAATACTTATACTTAAGTCTCTCTTCTTATCATGAAAATTTAGATATAAATGGTTAGAATTAAATCATACCAAATAAGTTAGAAAACCACAATCCAACTATATAAAACCATATTCCCAATTAGACCACCAAATTGGAAAGTATAACCCAATCCATCAAGTATCAATAATCACATTGCAATCCTATTTTAGAAAACGTAGTGCATAAGACCATAAATAATTTTTATTATTTATATATATATAAAATTTCTAACAATCTCCCACTTGGTCCATGCACTCCAAGTTTTATAAAAAAAAAATGACACTATGGATTGTAACACACTTTAGAAAAGACGAGTGACCACTCAATTTGTTTTATAAAATTACAATTATCGAAATAGATGGATTGATACTTTACAACACTTTACTCCATAAACTTCCTCAATAGTGGATCATGAATGCGTAGACAAGTAATATATTGGTCTAAACAGTTCCATAATCTCAAAACCGATTCCATCTAGGATTCAAGCAAATATAGTGATTTTTACTGTATTTCATGAGATGTGCAAACTGCATGTGGTCTAAACGCACACCTCACTATTCGCCCTGCTTTATACCATCGCAATATATCACCTGAACATATTATAACAAACCGCCAACCTTCTGTTCAGTGTGAGGGTTTACCGATATGGAGCCAATCTTATATCTAGCCCAAACTATCCTCATGGAGTGTGAAATACTTCTTTAATATTTATGTTTGGATTTACTAATGTGGTGTCAATCTCACATCTAGTCCAAACAACCTCACGAGTGAAATACCACTCACAGACAAATCTTATATTTGGATTTACCGATATGGTGTCAATCTCAAATCTAGCCCAAACAACGTATGAGTGAAATATCACTCCCAGACAACCTTTAATAATTATTTTAGATTTACCGATGTGGTGCCAATCTCACATCTAACCCAAACAACATTATGAGTGAAATACCACTCCCAGACAAACATAATAGCACGTGCATAAACCATATATATCAAGATAATAATAATGATGCATCATAACTTTATTTTAGATGCAAATAACTGTTACCATAAGGTGTAAACCGGAGGAAAAATAACTGCAATGTAGCATATACAAAAGAAATACTAGACATCATAACATAATGACTCTTGAACACCTATCCGAATCACGTGCTTTTAAAATGCTTTATTATCTTCGACTGAAGACTTTTGTAAGATGATTTGCAACAATCTTTCTGTAACCATATGGGGAAATCTTAATAACACTTAAACCTTAACCTTCTCACGCTTGAAAATGTACTTTATGTCAATGGCTTACTATGTTTGGTCACCCTTAAATTGTTTCCATATACTTAATTAATATAAGCCTTTAGAGAAAGTTCAAGTATTCTAGTAGCGTGATCTCTATGGATTCTAATGCGAAGGACATACTTTGCATACCTATGTCCTTCATGTCAAAAATTTTATATAAAATTCTTAATATCATATATCACACGAATGTCATTGCTACCTTGCAAAATATCATCAACATGTAGGATAAGGAAAACAAAAATGACTCCCACTGAACTTGAGGCATACGCATTTATCAATAATATTCTCTTTGAACCTACAATTAGTAACCACTTTATCAAAATTTGGATACCACTGATGTAAAACTTGCTTAAGTCATAAATGAGTGATAATGAAAGAATGACTCTTAAAGAGTCCTTTAATGAAACTGGAGAAAAATCTCAAAGTAATAAACTCTTAATTTTTGCTTAAGCACTTGGCTATCAATTTTGTCT